ACAATGAAAGCTTTCAAATATTTTAATTTAATATGAAAAAACAAAAGAGTGCTGGTTCAAAATGCCAAAGCAGAATTGAAAAACTTTGGAACTGATCTACTTTTTGGTGATTTAGCATTTCCCAGTTGACTGGAACATTATTTCGGTTCAATTTCGCATACATTTCTCGATACGAAGTGACTCAAATGCTTTTTTTTAAGCATAAAAACGGTCAATCTCCCCTTTCTTCTCTCTCCAACTATATTACCGATTGTTCCGGTACACTTACATACCGCTTTTTGGGCACACAAAGTTTCTCTACCCTAAACTATTTGTTCCTAGTTTCATACTAACAACGCCCCCACGCCTCTGATTGGAAGCGCATTTGAATTGTGTTTCCAGCTATTTTATACAGGAAGCTCATTTTCTATGTAAACGAAAGCCTCATTTTTTTAAGAAACTTTTGTTATTTTGGATTCTAAAAGTTAGGAGCATTTACAGCGAAGCAATTATGAAATGAAAAAGAATGATTACTTGTGACAAACAAAGCAATACTGTGTTTTTCTTTGAGTGACTGTCGCCATTCATCCCTGCTATGTAAATCAGCGCCAAACACACTACCCATGCAGCCCTGCTCGATCTGAAAAAAATCAGTACGAAATTGCAAAAGTTTAGCAAGAATTTAAAGATTTTCCATAAATGCATGCTATTTCTTCAAAATACAACGAAGAACTGCGGCAGAGAGACGGGCACACGCACATATGCATATGCCTATATACACAGGCAATTCTCAACAAATGTGTTTTTGTTTCAACAGTAACAAAAAATGCAAAAAATTAAACCTTTTCCTCCAAATCCAGGAGCATATCGACAAATTCTTTCTTCCAGTCAAATGTTGCTGGGCTGTCGGCCAAATCTACATCAGTTAACATCAGTTCATTGTAAATTTCGCCCGTAGCAATCTGCAATATATCTGTGCTCTTCCTTTTTTTTGGCAGCTCCGGTCATTTTTTTCGGGTTTCAAAAAACGAGATTACCACACCACGCACTGCTGAAATAAAGATAACCTTTTCTGAGCACCGCCCAAGCATATTCTCCAAAACCGGAGCGAAAAATTTCAAATTTTCCAGCAATTCGGTTTCTCGAAAT